TCCGGGAAGAGGTCGACCACATCTCCTCGCGAGGCTCCCATCTGACGCCAAGCATCGATTTCGCCGACATTGGCAACCCGGAGAGCAGGGCCGCCTTTCAACGCGGTCTCAAGCGCTACGGTCTGGGCGTCATGCGAGGTGTTGTTCCTCGCGCAGATGCCCAAACTTCAATTGACGAGACAGTCAAGTATCTCGAGAAGCAGAGCGATTTCAAGGAGCCCACCGTCCAAGATCCGACATGTTTCGACTTCTTTTGGACACCGGCCCAAATTCGCACCCGCGCGCATCCCAACGTTTTGGCGGCGCAACGGTTTGCAATGGGCCTGTGGGACAATGATGCCGACGATCGCATGGCCACCCGTTTCCCAATCGCATACGCCGATCGATTGCGCATTCACGGAGCCAACATTGGAGGCGTAGGTCCCAACTCGTCCGACAAGCCGAACAAGAACAAGACTGAGGAAGAGGAGGAGGCGCAAAAAGCTGCGTTGGAGCTGGAACTGCTGGGTGATTTTGCTTCCTCGACGGTAATCGCCCAGGTTGACAATGGCAGTCTCGAGCGCTGGGAACCGGACGGATACGGTCGCGGAGGTACCTACAAGGCCGTGTTTGAGGGCAGATGGGAAGACTATGAGCCTTGGGATCCAACGTTCCGTGTGAGTGCCACGTCCGATTTGTACAATGGCTACGGTTCGTGCAGCATTTTCCGCATGTACCAGGGCGTTGTCGCTTTGAGCACCATTGACCCAGGCCTCGTCCGCCTGCTCCCGAGTCCCAAGCTTGCCACTGCCTACTTTCTCTTGCGGCCCTTTTTCTCCCCAAAGACCAAACCTCCTGAGCGCCGCGATGGCCCAGAATGGGATGCTTTCCTTGACCCATCCAATTGGGCCCTTGACAAGGAGCAGACCACCATCATCCACGGTGCCGTTCCGGGCCACGCCCAACGTCTGACGGAGCTTTGGCACCCCCATCTCCACCTGCGCAAGACGCTCGTTCCCATCCCGACGCTGCAGACCGGCGATTACATCGTTTGGCATCCCGACTTGGCATACCACATCACCTCGTCTAACCCCAACGTCATGGCCAGTCGAGCTCCCACGCCTCCACCCATGGATGGTAACGAGGACGTATCGCCATCCCGCCCCGTGTCGATTCTCGTCTATGCTCCCGCCGCGCCGTTGACCCAGAACAGCGCGCTGTACCTTGCTCGCCAGCGCAAGACGTTCCTGCGCGGCCATCCCAGTCCGGATTTCGATTCCACTGGCAGTGGTCTCGGCAGCGAGGCGACGCATGTTGGTCGGTTTGGTGAGACGGACATCGCAGAGGTTGGAGGCCCCGCCGGTCTGCAAGCCATGGGTCTTGCACCGTTCGACGTGGCTCCAACCCCGTCGACGGACACTCCATCCACTCCCAACGGGACCAATGCCGACGGAGATGTCGACATGGCCAATGCTCCTGCTTCTGGGACCCCAACGAGCTCCAAATCTATCAACAGGGCGGAAGCCGAGGTTGCCAGGTTAGCCAACATAATCTTGTTCCCTGACCGCTATGACTTTTACATGCCGGCGCCCAAGAGGACGGCTTCCATGTCTGGGGCCAGCGACTTTGGAGGACGAAAGCGAAGCAGGACCGACACAACAACAAGCAGTGCCAGCACCGAGTCGAGACCGTCGTCGTCAAAACAAGAAGACAAGGGGAAAGGGAAAGAAGTGGTAGTCGACGAAAGCAGTAGCAAGAGTTGACGGTTAACCGTCCTGGGATAGGATATCGTTCAGGGTGAGGATGGATTTGGTTCTGTTCTGGGATGGGGATACTACATATACACATATACACATACATTTAGTGGTCGAAAGATCGCTTGGAAGAGGGGGGAGTTGTAAAAAGAGGGGATGGGGATACAAAGGAGTCACACAGTTTTTGTTTTGTTTTCTTCTGTGTCTTGCTTACACATTTTTTTGTTCGGAAGTTGCGGGCGATTGCAATAGAGGAGAAACAAACATACCCCGAAGCGCTTTTTTGGAGTTGTTTTTTTTGGTAGCAGGATTAAGATTTTTTGGTCAAGGGAGGTAATACCAGTTGGGTATATATTTTTGGGGGGTTTTTTGGGGAGGAAGAGGAGGAAAGAAGAATTTTCTTGGTTACTTCATATATATATTTTTGTGGCATATAGTTTCTTTCTTGTATCTTGTCAGCTTTTTAAAGCATACTTTTAGGTAGTACAGATGAGTAGTTGGGGGTCTGTAAGCGCAAAGCGAGCAGACCGGGTTTATTGGAATAAGAGATATTTTGAGATATTTTTGGAGTTTTGAGTCGTCCTTGTTTTTGCAGTCTTTTCTATGAATCATCGCTAACACGGCTGTCCAGTGGCCTCAATGTCAGGTCTGGGGTTGCGTGACGCCCAGAAACCAAGAATCTGACAAGCTTTGCTAGGCTCACCGACCGAGAAAAAGATTTTCACTCAGCTCCCGTATCCTCGTTTCATTTTTCTGTACGATCTCAATAAACTCATTGATCTCGGCATTTTCTCGAGATTTCGGCTGAATATGGGTACCAGGTGTCAACCCCTGACTTTTTAGTTACATTGAGATGTTTGCCTGCAGGATAAATATCTGACAACATCTCGAAAGCAACTTTGACCGTTTTACTCGATATCGACAAGCTCACAATGGCAATTAAAACAAAAGCCGACGTATCGCCAAGTGAGTCGGCATTATTATGGCTAGCTGTTGTCCAGCGACCTTTTCGAGCTCGAGAGCTTTGGCTCGCGGCTCACTTGGAGCAATCATGGAATGGAAATGATTCGGCTTCACTCGAGAAGCTGCAGGTTTCGTTCAAAGCACAACGGTATAACGACGACCAAGCGCTTTCGGCTTTACACCAATTAGTCGGCAAGGATGTCCTTGGGTCGTTTTCAGATCCCCTTGATTCCAGCGTCATCTACGTCGACTTGCCCGAACCCGGCATTCGAAACGTGCCGTCGCAAGAATCGCATTACCATGTTCTTCACAGCCTATTGAGCATTTGCTTTGTTACAGTTATGAATCTTGCACGGATTCAAAAAGACACAGCTGCGACGTCCTTGACTTTATATGCCTGGACTCACTGGAAAACCCATTTTGAGATGTCTGGAGTTGATTTGAAGGATGAACACTGGGCTGGGATGCTTGAGCGATTGGTTGTCAAGATCTGTCATGACGCTTTGGAGTTTCTGATAGAGCTCAACAATTTTGTTACGGAGCCTATCACTCTATCGGTCATGGAGGACCAATCGAGATGCATTGCCTTGGTGAGAGAGGCACAAGAGGCATTGGAGGGTCCCATGGAGTTGCTTTCGTCGTTGGCGGCAACGAAAGAGATGGCGAAGAAGCTGCAGGGAAGCAGAGAGATATTTGAGACTTTCAGTTTTGCACGACAGAAAGGTTTTAGCCTGTCTCGGAATCCAGACGGAAAAGGGAAGGAGATGGACTCTGGAATTTTAGTGGACCACTACTTGCATCAAACACTCTCGCTGTTTGAGAAAGAGGCAGCTCATACCATACGTCAACTGGTTGATGTCGCCCGTGGCCTTAGGGGTGTCAGCGCAGCAATTGTCCAAACTCCTCTTTACGAGCAGCTGCTCAAGGATAACGTTGAAAACGCATCACCTCTCGCTCTTCTCGCCAAAGTAGCCGACTTTCTCGAGACGGTAGGGACTTTTCCATACTGGGAGAAGTTTTCTTTCATCGAAACCAGCAACCCTGACACCACACTCAAAACCCAATCAACCCTCGCCAGAGATGCCGCCTCCCTTCCCTCTCTAAAAACCATCTCTCCTCTCCGCTACTGCCTCGCCCGCCTGGTCTACAAAACCCGCTCTCTCCCTTCAGCAACATTCATCATCAACCCTCCTAACCTCACCCGCCCCTCTTCCTTTTCCCACTTTCTCACCTCCATCAACTCGTTCAACTCTTTCCTACCAGCTTCCTTCTACAACAAGCCCCTCCCCTCCATAGAACCCACAAACAACCCTGCAAAAACCAGCCCCAGCATCCTCAACCAATCCCTCCTCTCCTCCGGCTATCGCATCACGCTTTTCTATTCCCTCTCCGCAATAATCCTCAATCACATCCGCACAATCTTTACTCCCTGGTTAGGCCAATCAATCTGGTTTAATCCACTGTCTAACTTACGCCTTGCCATAACCAACCCGGAGATATTCCTGGACAATGTATCTGATTTCCCTTGGCTTTGGGTCGTCTTCATCGACATACAGAAATTACTCTGGGATTCTACCGTCAGACGGGTTTGTACGAGACCTGATTTGTCTAGGAGACGGTTATCGGATGTTTGTAGGATACTGTACTTTACTTGGGTATTTTCAGTGATTGATTTGTGGTTTTCTCGGGTGGTTTATACTACAGCTTGGTGGATTGCCATGAGGAAATTATTGGGAGGATATGATGCCGAACACATTGCATTAAGGAATTTGATGGCAGAAAACAGGGTAAAGTTTTTATTCTTCGGGTTTAATACGGTATGGTATACTACGAGCTCAATAATTCCTTTGGGTTGGAGTAGTCTTGAATTCGCAACGGGAGGACAACCGGGACTGTTGATTTTGTTGATCGGGTTGACTGGAGGTGTAGTGGCGGTGATCAAGTACAGAAGTACATTTTATATCGCTCTGGAAATAAGTGGAATGTTCGTTTTTATGGGATTTCTATTCAGTACGGTTACGATTTTGGGAGTTGAGTTTTGGACTGATCCGCTAGGGATCGAAGGGAGTACTGCTATGGCGAGGACGAGAGGAGGAAAAGTAAAAAGGGTATTGGACGGGCAAAGAATTGATTGGAAGAAAAGTATTGACGGACTGAAAAAGAAGATGCATGTCAAGAAAGCAAAAAATTGTTGAGGGTATAGAGGAAGAAGGGATTAGGGGTTGTTGTATAGACAAGGGTAAGTCCGGTCAAATACTGTTAAACGGTTGAGTAAAAGCATCATCTGTGAAATGAGCTTCTCAAGGCGAAGTGGCCGAGTGGTTAAGGCGCTGTGTTTAGGAAATTCAGTTTCCAAAACCCGCAGTGGGAAACCTCGCGAGTTCGAATCTCGTCTTCGTCATAAATATTTTGCCTTTTTTTTTTTTTTTGATAGAAAATCCTTTTTTATTGTTGCATCACGGGTTCAACAGTATGGCAATTATTTTATTTTATTTTGTACTCCATTCTGTGTCCAGAGTGAGATGGCTACCTGCAGCTCTGTATCCGATTGCGGTGGTATCTGTCTTGCCTATCCAGTACGGCCAACAAAGACAGCACTGCATCTGCTTTTACGTTTTATCTTTAAATATAAGGAATCAAACTAGGCAAAACCCTATCATACGCAACAGAACTAGGCGGTTCCATAGCAAAGATATAATTCCCCCACCAAGGACCTCCTCCCCACCATAACCAACCAGTCCAAACATCGTTATTCTGCTGCAGATACGACAACATCCCCGTCAAGGCAGAAATACAAGTAGGGTTTGCTCCTCCCGCCGTCTCGCCCAAAATGGCTTTTTTATTGTTTTGTTTCAACCATTGTGTTGCTGCTCGGACGCGCTCTACGCCTATGGTGGTTGATACGCATTTATCTGAGGTTCCGGATCCGTCTGAGTCGAGATATTGATGCATTTCATAGATGATTTTGTCTGAGGGGTCGGTGAGATCTTTGAGGTATTGGGAGTTTCCTGAGGTCTTTACAAAAAACAATCAGTGTGTGTCGAGACAGATGGGGAGGGGAAAACATACAGTCCAAGTCCATGCACCACTCCAAGAGTTACCCTCTACAAAAATATACTGAGAAGTTGCACCGGCCGAACGAATACCATCAATGGCTGCTTGATTCAATCGACGGACTAAATCATTGTCCATGTCGTGGTATTCGTTGTTGGTGTCGAAAATCACCTTGTCGTTGTTGGCAAAGATCTTGGCGACTGTTACCCACCAGGCTTTGAAGCCGTTGACGTCTGTGATGACTTTTTCGTAGTATCTGCCAAAGTTGTGGGGGTCGATGACTGCGTAGGCTCCCTTGCTGGTTACATGGTTGACGATCTGGGGTTGTCAGTTAGACTGTAGAGTAAAAATGACTTGTCTACATACATCTGTGAGACCCTGGAGGTAGGCTGAATTGACTGGTCCGTCCATCTTGTTGGGGATGAGGCGCTCCCTGGATGGTTGTCAGCAAACTAGATAGCCATGGCAGCAGAGAGTAGTACATCATGATGGCAATGCGAAAGGTGTTCATCCCTCTTCCAATCAAAGTATCAATGCTTGACTTGACCGGCCAGGTGTAATGCTTTCCGAGAATACCCGGGAGAGTATCCTTGCCAAATTCGGCTCCAGATTGGTTGATACCGACAAACTGGAACTTGGTAGCCCGGGTGGTCTTGGTGGGAGCATTGCATTGGGCGTTGGCTGGTGCCGCCGCTGTCGAACCAACGGCAGCTGCACCGAGGAGAATGTTGAGAAGCTTCATTTTGGATGTTTGAAATGAATCCTTCCAGCAAAACAGAGCATCACTGAGGCGTCTTATATCTTGAAAGTCAAAGCTGCGTCATTAGTGTACATCTATCACGATCGGCGGAAATCCTTGCTCCGTCCTCGAGACGAGGGTATAGAGTGGCCGTTATTACACGACCATCACTTCCCTTGATTTAGTATCAAGCTGATAATCAGGCACATCGGCGAGCAGAATTGGACGTGAAGAGGTCAGCCTCCTACTTGACAGGTCTTGCCGAGATGCAGGTTCTTGTGGGGTGACAATTCTCATGTACCCCGATGGGGCTGCCTCTTCCGCCCCCTTGAATCAGCCGGAAGACATGGACGATGTGGTGACCGCAACGCACGGAGTATCCAGCACCAAAGATAATATCCACGACGGGATTTGCAAAAAAGATAATTGAAACAAGAGGAGAGAGAAGATTATTGGTGCAATTAACATCAGGGCGACGATGAAGTGATACAGGCACACGACACGTTGTGATTGGGGCCACAACCCTCAACAGCAGGTCGAAATTGCTAAACAACAGAAATAATCTGACATTCAATCTAACAAATGGGAATAGCATCAAATTTTACCCCTTATCCGGGGGTGGACCAATGCTCGGCGCCTAGTTGCCTTGGCAACAAGTACAAGCCGCTGAAAGTGCCGATGTGGAATTGGCTCCGGCGCAAGCCGGCCCCGTGATCAACACCGGACATGGTAATTTCCCGCTCCCCTCGGAATCTTTTTGATTCTTCCAATGTCACCTTGAAATTGTCATCTTTCCGCATCCCTCTCTTCAGCGGTTATTGCCGTACGTCAGTCCTGCCCCAGACCCAAAAGAATATCGGACCCGAGATCATCGGCGGAAAGTGGAGATATGTCCGGATTCCGGCTTATTTCGGGATACAGGCGGGTGTGGCAGCCACAAAGCCGTTCCTTGGTGGGACACGCACCAAATGTTCGACTGCATAGGTGGCCAGGATATCGTCCATATTCTACTGCAAGCGGTACATCAACCACATCAGCTGGTAAAAAAAGAGGCCAAACTCTCTTCAATGCGTTCCGGGTCATGAGCATTTTCGCCTTTGGTGCGGGTTTCTACATCACCTCCAAACTCGATCCAAGCCCCAAGTCAACCCCAACCAACAATGAAACGCAACCGATCACGTACGCCAACCGTACAGAAATGCTGCACGCAGCCGAGGAAATTGCCCGGGTTCTTGGTCAAGATTACGTCTCCTACGACACCGAAGTCCTCGAGCACCATGGACACTCAGATTGGTCAACCTCCAACTCACCTGAACGAGCCGTGGCGGTAGTCTACCCACGAACAACCTCGGACGTCTCAACCATCGCCAAGATCTGCACCAGACGAAATGTACCCATGGCTCCCTTTGGCGCCGGCTCCAGCGTCGAAGGCAACTTTTCCCAGCCCCATTCAGGCATTTGCATTGACTTCTCTCACATGGATGAGATAATCGCCTTTCATCCAGATGACATGGATGTGGTGGTTCAACCGGGAGTCAACTGGGTAGACCTAAACACGCAGATCGCTTCTTCTGGACTCTTTGCGCCAATGGACCCTTCACCAACCGCTACTGTAGGGGGAATGGTTTCAACAAACTGTTCCGGCACCAATGCCTTTCGGTACGGGACGATGAAGGACTGGGTGTTGAATTTGACCGTCGTTCTCGCCGACGGAAGCGTGATCAAGACACGCAGTGGCAGGCCACGAAAGTCTTCAGCGGGATATAACCTCACTTCGTTATTCGTCGGGGCAGAGGGAACGCTGGGAATTGTGACCGAAATCACTCTGAAGCTGGCACCGATACCGCAGGAAACCAGTGTCGCGATTGTCGCCTTTCCAACAATCCACGATGCAGCAGCGGCCGCGACATCCCTGATCCGGTCTGGCACACCATCGCTTGCAGCTCTAGAGATTATGGACGATGTACAGATGAAGGTATTGAACGAGCACGGGAGCGCGGCAGTGCGGAAACGGAAGTGGGCGGAACAGCCGACGCTATTCATCAAGTTCAGCGGGACGACGGACGGGATCAAGGGGGATATCGCTCGCGCCGGGGAGATTGTGAAATCGTACAGCAAGGCAGGCTTCCACTTTGCGAGGACAAAGCAGGAGGAGTTGGATCTGTGGGCCGCGAGAAAGGAAGCTCTGTTCACCATGGTCAGCATCAAACCGAAAGGGATGGAAATGTGGTCAACCGATGTTGCAGTTCCGATTTCGAGACTTGCCGAAATAATAGATTGGTCCAAAAAAGAATGCGGAAAGCTTGGAATTTTTGCAAGCGTTATTGGACATGTGGGAGATGGGAACTTCCACGTTGCCATGATGTACGACCCAAAGAACGAGGAACAGAAGAAATCGGTCGGGAGAACCGTCCACGAGATGATGGGCAAGGCCATCCAAATGGAGGGTACCGTCTCTGGCGAGCATGCAATCGGCATCGGGAAAAAAGACTGCCTCCGAGATGAATTGGGGGCTGAAACAATCGGACTGATGAGAACATTGAAGAAGGCGGTCGATCCAACATGGGTGATGAATCCAGGAAAGGTGTTTGATTAGGCAGGAAAACAAAGGCTTAATTGTTGCAAGAAATGGAAATCAACAAACAAAATCCTCCAACTGACCGACTCTCTATCTCGATTCATTTCTTGGTCTTGATCTTCCTCAAGACTTCCTCCCCAAAGAAAGTGACAACAGCAGCAAAAATCGCCCACGGAACCACATCGCTTCCCCAATTCAACAAGATCCCAAAAAGATACCTCGTGAAATAAATCCAAACGCATCCCATGGCGCTCAATCCCCGACACATGAACGAAACTTCCCTCTGAAACAAGAGATCATAAACCTTTATTCCTGCAAACACGGCCTTGAATGTGGCGTAAAGAACGACGATGGCGAGCATGACTTCCCTGAATGAAATGAGATCGGGATATTGAAGTCTGACCGAGATTTCGTGGATGGTTCTGTTGAAGTAGGTAGGGCGACGGGGAGCGCGGTCGCGACCGTTATTTTGTTGGAGGTGAAACCCGTCGGGGCGGATCTTGTGCGGGCCACCCGCGCTGGGTGGTTGGTAGGGGCAGGCACCTGTTACACAGCCCATTTTGATGAAGATTGGATGAAAGAGTGACAGAATGGAAGATTGATGGTTTCTGAAGAAGGGGTGAGCGGATGAAGTGAGTTTAAAGATGTATAAAAGAAGGAGAGAGTGGGGTGATGGAAAGCTGAAGTTCCTTTTAGCGCGGTGGATGCCTGGAGGGAGATTCCCGAAATTGGATCACGACGCGTGGGCCGGGGGGTTTCGGGATCGATCATTTGCGCCGCCTCAGCCTTTCTTCTTGATCAGTCAACGTCATGCATATATGCACTTGCCCTACCCATCCAGCGCCTTTGAGTCTTGACCCCGACCATGAATGGCGGTGTTGACTGCCATTGACAAAAAAAATGGAAGCAACATTCATTGACGGCCGGACTGGCATCAGCCATGCCCTTAAATTTTCTCTTCATCCCATTCTCTTCTTCATTTCTCTTCCCCAAACCAACAGCTCTTCAGAACAGCATTCAATTCAATATT